GCTGTTGTCACCGGCGGCGGATGGTTGTTGAGGAACGTGTGCTGCTTCGGCATTGGCTTCTTTCGAACTCGTAGGTCCACCCATCGTGCTTCGAGGCCAGCGATTTGTGCGCACGGACCTGGTCGTGATCGATCAATGGAGGGCGGGCAGCAGCGGTGATGCATGCACGTTTATGCAGCATTGTAGTAGCATCGACGACGGGTTCGTATTCGATTCGGCTTTGGTGGCATGAACTGTATGTCTGTATATTTCAGATTTCGACTCCGTTTCAAACTCAGGCCCACTATAAAAACCATTTTTACTGGCACCCTCTGTTTTTTTACTGGTAGTTAGTAACGGGTCACACCTTATATATTCTGGGCATGTTCATTGCTACAAGTCGATGCTCTCATACTCCGTCCCATGCAATGCCACGTGGGATTTTTGCTTATGTGGAGGAAAAAGAAAGGTGAGAGAGAAAGAGGTCACCTCATGAGCTAATATTTAGGACTATGAGACAACCATTATACGATTGTATGAGATGTTGTTGCCATACAACTCATAAGTTTACTTTTCTTTTATGCACAAATTAAGGAATTATGAGTTGCTACGAGACAACTTAAAAAACAATCATTGTATATGTTGTCTATTAAGTCATCTTAAAATTACGTGACTCTATATGAGATAGCCCATGAGACAACATCAATGTACTTGGCCAGGTGAGACCAACTCTGGGTGTTTCTTATAATTCAATTGCTGAATTAATAAATTTAGCGAGTTCAGTAGGGCTGTTCCCCTCCCGTTTTTCTAAAAAAAGATCTTGTTGGTTTAGGAATCACCTAATCTCAAAGATAACTCACCATCCTCAATCTCATGATTTATCTCTCAATTTCTCATGATTTTAATCAATTCTCAAATAACTAGTTGCACATGATAACTAGAGCTCAAACCGTAGCTATCACTAGCCCAAAATGTCACCTAAACACCCCTAGGAACCTTTTGCACATGCATGATAAACACCACTCACAAATTAGGTTTGAATCAAACATGAGCAACATGAACAATAAAGAACATAGGTTCTATCGACAGCCGATGGAGTGTCCGTCACTACACACGGAGTGTCCATCAACATCAGCACTTAGCCAGAACTCACATCCACACACTTAATCTTCACCGTAAATGGATTCACGGATCGCTTGTGAGTGTTCACAGACCACCCGTCAAAATGTTAAATTGATTTCTAGAGAACCCGAGAGCACCCTGTTTATCATGAAGTGTCTGTCAAATCACACAGAGCACCTGTAAGGCACAAACCACTAAAAAATGACTACTCCCTCCGTCCCGATTTATTTGCATTTCTAGAGCTGGGCGCGGCAACCAAGATAGACGAGAAATTACTAAAATACCCCTATAGATGTAGGGCCGGCTGCAGCGGTGAACTGATGGCTGTGGGGAGGTGGAAGGGAGTATAGGAAGCGTCATTTCACCTGTTGAGGGCAGCAGCCTTTTTTTACTATTTTATTATGGCAAAGATGGGTCAGGTGCTACGAGCAACTTCTGGATGGGCCGATGACGGAGCCTCCGTTTATTTGTCTTTTGTGTTTGAGTATTTTTTATTGATTTTTTTTGTCAGACACGCTGGCGCTGTGTGGCTGTCACTGTCTAGTGCTGCGCTGCTAGTCTGCTACGATACTGCTACGCTCTGCAACTCCAAACGTGATCGATTAATTTGGGAAAAGTTTTGAACTCCAGACGTGCAAATAAACCGGGACGGAGGGAGTAAGTCCTAGTGGTCACGAATCGTTATGCGGAACATTCCATAAGGGCATGGAGCGTATGTCGATACCAACGGAACGTTCCATCAGTTCACCCAGAGCCGAATCCAAACATGTTAGCCTCGGGAAACAATTCCACGGAGTGTTCGTCCTTGCTGACGGAGTGTCCGTCGAATATTTTAAAATGTTGAAATGTTTAACCCTTAACCATAGTACCAACCACCCTATCACCTATCGACATGGTAATTAGTGTAACACTAATCCACTGATAGATATCTCTTCCCAAGTTCCAAATCACAAGTTCACTCTCATTCACTCGTTACCTCTCAATCCAATCAATGAGCTCGTCTCCAACTCTTCCAATGTTTCTTGCAGATTGTTTTAGGATGTGAGAAACACTTACGTGTCGTCATGATCATCCTCGGTCATTGGGACTTCATGACATGCAGGCATTCCACTACTAAAAACCCTATTTTGGATACACATTACATTGTTCCATTATGAGTTGTGCACTCCACACGAAAATGATTTATATTAATTAATTAATTAATTTGGGTGGAAGTTCGGGTTAGATTCGGCTTCGGGGCGGACTCCGTTTCAGAAGGCTTTGTCGCCCCGTTCGCCCAGTATGCGAATGTCAATCACTTCTTAGGTATTCACTCCGAGACCGAGTCCATACCAAACGCCCAGAATTTTGTAGATTTCTATTAGTAGTAGTCGGGGATGAGAATGAGAGAACAGAGTTGAGAAGGATAAAGACATGATGAATTTTGCCCCGACTTACTTATGGACAGCATGACCCACCCATAGAGCTCTTGAAAGTATGTTGCTCCGTCTTGTATTTACCTCTATATATACCTAAATATATCCATGTGTTGCACGAAACCCATTATATCTTGGAACGGGAATTTGTCTAAAGTTATTAAACGTTAGTTATTCTAACTTGTATATCACGGATCATAAAACCGGTCCACATGTGAGAAAAGACGCGAGATTAGTATGGAAAGAAAAAAAGCAAGATGAAAGAAGACTGTGCGGAGGGGTATTTTAGGAATAAAATAGCTGATTAGAATAAATGCTTCACTCTTTAGTAGTAGTAGTAGTAGTAATAATAATAGATTATTATATTATATTATTATATATTATAGGTAGAGATAATATACTCTGGGTAGGTAAGGGTCGCGATTGATCCTAACCATATATAACAATATAGATTAATATTTTCCTAATTTTAGTAATAATAATAAAAGTTTGTACATTGGATGTATTTAGATCACATGCAGATAACAATTAGTTGTTAAAAATTACTACCTGAGATGCTATTTGGATCTTCAGCTAATAAACATTCTAATATCTTACCTACCATCCAATTTTTTTGAATGTCTCAATACTTCAAGTACAAGTCGTAGCTATTAGCGTTTCTTCTATCCCAGCTAACAGGGTTAATAGTTAGCAAGGTGGATCCCAATAGGTCCTTAATTAGCTTCCTAAGTAAATCAATTTTCTAGAGTCGTATACTAAAAGGTTAAATTCACGTGTCCATATATCGAAGGGGGCGCACCTACCGAAACGAAGGTAGCCTTCTAGACATGTATTTTTTTAAAAAAAAAAAGATAATTGCAAAATTAGATGAAATCTAAGTTTTCTCATTCGTATTGCGTGTGCTGTGGTTCAGATGATATCTATAAGAAAACGCAACGTTTATAGTATGAAATTACAAGTTTCTCCAAACCCACGCGTATAGATATGAAATTTGTCAATTTATTTCCTATTGCAAATACTAATATATTTTTTATATTTATGTAAACTTGGAAGAAATTTGAACTAGAAACACAATTAGAACGAGCTCTTGTGAACAAAGATTACAACGAATTAAATCATTCCCTTGCTGACAACGTGCCGAATTTTAGCTTCCTTATTTCTTGATTGCTGTACTGTGGCACTAGTATTTACTTACCTCTACAAAGGTAAGTGAAAATCCCAGCCACTGCCCACTTGTTGTGGTTACTACCAGAATACATCATTCACACTACCAAAGGGCTAGCATCCGGACATCCGGCCACAAGACGCGTCCGGAGGTTGCTCCAGAGCCTCGTGCCTCGCTAGCCGATGTGGCCTATCCACATGCGCAGGCCATCCCCATCCACAGGCCAACACTGGCCCTTGCTCCTCCACCGCTGCCCTACGAACTTGAGCACCTAGAAGGGGAAGGACCCGGACGGCTGTGCCGGACCTCGCTAGCGGCCCTAGGAGGCGGAGGAGACATCAAGACGAGGCAATAGAAGGCGAGGAGGAAGATGCAACACCCGATCTACTTTTGAAACATCTAGATGCAACACTTGCAACACATGTCTTAAAACACTTGAAACAATTGTAAATATATGCAACATCCAGATAAAACACTTGCAACATATGCGCAAAACATATGCAATATCCAGATAAGCACACGTGCAACATATGTCTAAAAAAATAGATGAAACAATGGGAACAAAAGCTTACAACATATGCGTACAACCATTGCAGCATATGAAACATCCCGATCTACTTTACAACATCCATATGAAACACTTGTAACATACCTATGACACATCTAAAACACATGAAACATGCGTTTTGCAACATCGGGTGCCCAGGGTTGGTCGAATCCAGCCGTTGGGGTTGGAGCCGCGACGAGCGGCAGCGCGTGAGCACCACCAGCACCTGCAGCGGCGCGAGAACCACCACCACCACCACCACCACCACCACCAGGCTTGGTTCAGCCAGGCGGGCAGTGCTCGGGCGACGGGAGGGAGCCAGCGGCGCGCGTGATGGGCGGAGCGAGCACCACCATCAGCATCAGCGCCAGCTACGGCCCGCGAGCACCACCGGTGGAGAGGAAGGATGGTGCTAGGCGAGTGGCCACCGCGGCGGAGTAGTCGTGGCACGTGGTGACGGTGCTGGGAGTCTAGGACCTGGAGGGTGGGGTTTCCGTTCTGGATAGTGGACGACAACCGAACGATTTTCCAATAAATAAATGCGAGCATAATGGAACACACTTGTTGGGACGTTTAAGCCAGCATCATCGCGGCCCACGGCAACATCATCGTCCGGAAGATCGGACGCCCACGCCTAAGCATTTCCGTTCACAGTAACATAGAAGTTAGAGCATCCTAGCTGGAAGAAAAAAAAAATACTTTATAATCCTAATAATGTCGGCAAAAGTGTAAAGCACTGTATATACACTGCACTGGGTACACTAAGCTAATACTAGTACGGATTCACATTCACCCGCACTACTAGCACTCTCCTTTGGACGCCGCCTCCTCCTCCTTGCTCCGCGTCCGCCGTGGGCAGCGCATGGCGGCAGAGCGGGCACATGTTGCTCCGCGACAGCCACTCCCTGATGCACCTGCCGTGGAACCGATGCTTATACGTGCACGGCATCACGCGGAGCCTCCTGCCCTTCTTGTAGCTCCTCATGCAGATGACGCACATGCTGTCACCTCCGGACGACCCGTCGTACCTGTGCTCTTTGAGGCCCGCGATGGCCGCGGCGGAGGCCGGGATGGCCCCAAAGCCGCGGTCGCCGTCCGCGTCTTCTTCGCCGGGCATGAAGGGAGGAGGAGTGGCGGTGCCGGCCTGCTGGATGTGCGGGACCTGCAGCCCTAGAGCAAGTATGTCTCGAGATATCTCATCGCCATCGTCGTCGTCGTCGAGGTCGTGGTTGTCGGAGTCCGCAAGGTGGCCGACGAGGTCGTCGTCGTCCTGCCGTAGGTGGCGGGAGCTGTTGTAATTGTAAACCATCTGGCGGCACACTTGGTCCTGCCACTGCATTGGGCGCTCTTCTTCCGGCTCGTCGTCGTCGGTGTCGTCAGAGGATAGAAATCGTCGGCGCCAGCAGTGTCAGAGGACTCATCTGCTGCGGCGGCGCTACCGGCGCCCGGGACGAGCTCGCCGCCGGCGTCGTGTTGTACCTCTTCCAGCCGTCTACGTGCCTCTTCAAGGACCGCCAGATACGAGCGCAGCGCATCACGTTTGCGCTGGATTTCCGCGCTCCAGTCCATACACCAGGCTCCAGCAGCGTGCCCTGCGACGCCACGCATTGGACTGTTCGACATGAACGATATATATATATATATATATTTATTATATATATAATTATTATTAAGTTTTTGCCTGCTTGTTGGTGTGGAGGAGCTACGATTGGTGGATTGGTGGGGCTGGTGCGACGTATTTATACACAGGCATAACCGACCGACTGACATACGGGCTGTCCGACTCCTGGTCATGTATATAGTAGGCCGCCGAATGCGTGCCGACTTAGGACTCTGACGGCGATCGGCTTTGGTGTCGGTAATTAAGTCGGTTGGACGGAGGCCGCGGCAGGTCGGTGGTTCCGCGTCGATCGGATAGGAGCCGGAGGAGCCGGGCACGGTGCGGACTCCGGGCGTCCTGTGGCGGCGCGCGAGCTCCTTCCGGGGAACCTAGCTCCAGAGTTCTACTGTTGTATAGGGAACGTCCTGCTTGAGGTGAACGCCGGCGGGCATGCATCTGATGGTGGTCGGCGGGCGGCGGCAGGCCTCCTGGGCTCCACACCGTACGTGAAAGTGGAATTTAGCTACGTTTTATTTGGTTCATTTTATATATACTGCAGTAGATTTTTGCGTGTCCTCAGATTTTTGACATTGCCCCATGTAGGCTCAGTTTGTTCAAATCAATGCAAACCTATATATATAAAAAATAGGAAACGATACCACCCGCGCCCGACGAAGAAGACAGCGGCGGCTAGGTTCCGGTGGCCCGCGCCTCACTCTTCTTCCCCAATTCCGACGGGCTTAGAAGGGGCTCGGGAGATTCTCCAATTCCGATGGGCTTCGGAGGAGCTCGGGAGAGGCAGGCCATCTAGGCGTTGGGGGCAGTGGGAGGGCTGGCGTTAGGATTCTAGCAGCGAAGGAGGCTGCTGGGCTAGGTCGGGGAGGGGGCGACGATGGCCATGGCGACGGCGGGAGGGAGGGAGGGGAAGGAGGCTGCCGCGGACGCGGTAGGGTCTCGCTGGAGCTCCACGAGCGCGGCCATGGCTGCAAAGCTCCGACGAGACTACTACGCCGCGGCAGGGCGGTGGGTGGCGGCGGGGCGGGAGCGAGGACGAACGCGGAGCTAGGACGAAGGCAGGGGACGAGGATGAGGGCTGGTGGTCGATAGCGAGGGAGGGCGGCAAAGGAGGGAGAAAAGGGTGGGGAGGAGGTGGGCACGAGGTAGATGAGGAAACACACAACCTGTCACGCGTTAACATTGTCCAGAAAAAAATGTGGTGCACGCGAGATTGTTTAGTCTTTATAGTCCACCATAATAAAGGATTAGGAACATGAACAGGAACAGGAAAGTCGACATTTGTTAGTACACATGAGAAGTAATATGATAATATCAATTCTTAGTGTAGGATGTCAGAATCTCAATTTTCAAATGTGGGTAGCCTGGAGACTGGAGTTCAATTTTCTCAGTGTTGTTGTTAGTTGAAGAGCTGAGCCAACATTTTAGCTAGTTAAGATAACTTGCAAGCTTGATGGAGCTAGCATTGCTAGCGGTTCATGAGCTAAACAAGCCAAAGGAAAATAACCATCTAGATGAAAGCCAAAGTGAAAAAAAACACCCAGAGAAACCCCGAAGCCCAGCCGCCTAGGATGGTGCAGCACGAGGTCCAACCCCCCCCAGTGGTACGGAGAAGAGATATATTGTATACAAGATAGAGCTTTGTTACGGTGCCTGGGAGGAACTGGTTCCCGTCAAAAATAATTGTCGCAGATATATTAATTACAAAAAATAATTAATTGTAATTAGGGGCAGTTTAGTACTTCTGCGAGTTGAGTTATGATCCAAATTCAGTTATGTACAAGATAAATGCTAATTTCTGCCGGAGCGAAGCGAGGCCCGTCGCCGGAAGGCTTGGGCCTATTAGGGCCGGAAGAAGAGTGCCCAATGCAGTGGCATGACCAAGTGTGCCGCCAGATGGTTTACAATTACAACAGCTCCCGCCACCTACGGCAGGACGACGACGACCTCGTCACCTATTAGGGTTTTCCATCTATATATACTTCATGTAAGTCGTCGTCTTGGGATAAGAAAAGCTATAAATCCCCGACGTTTGTAACCTCACCCGGTATAGTGAAGATTTACTGGCTGGTGCCCGTGGTTTTTTCCCTTCCACCTTGGGAGGTTTTTCCACGTTAAAATCTCGTGTCCCCTGTGCTTGATCTACTGTTCTTCGTCGTTTATATTGCCTATCGTTTATAACAAGTGGTATCAGAGCTTGGTTTGACCATAGGGTTTCGCGATGGCATCGATGAAGTTTGATCTACCGCTGCTGGATTACAAGACGAGATTTGCACTATGGCAAGTCAAGATGCGAGCAATTTTGGCACAATCTTCGGATCTTGATGAGGCGCTGGACGGTTTCGGAGGAAAAGGGCAGAAGTCATGGACCGCTGAAGAGAAGCGAAAGGATCGTAAGGCTTTGCCTCTGATTCAACTTCATCTACATAATGATATTTTGCAAGAAGTGCTGCAGGAGAAAACTGTCGTAGAACTTTGGCTCAAGCTGGAATCGATCTGCATGTCCAAGGATCTAACCAGTAAGATGCACGTGAAGATGAAGTTGTTCACGCACAAGCTGCAAGAAGGTGGTTCGGTGATGAACCACTTATCAATCTTTAAGGAGATTGTTGCCGATCTAGTGTCGATGGAGGTAAAATATAATGATGAAGATTTAGCTCTTCTACTGTTATGCTCACTGCCTACTTCGTTTGCAAATTTCTGAGATACCATACTATTAAGCCGTGATGAACTAACCCTTGCGGAAGTATATGAGGCCCTCCAGATGAGGGAGAAGATGAAAGGTATGGTTCAGTCTGATGTGTCGTCCTCCAAGGGCGAAGTGTTGCAGGTTAGAGGTTGGCCCGAGCAGAAAACCTACAACAACAACAATAATCGAGATAAGAGCAAGAACGGTAAAGGCCGTTCGAAGTCCAGAGGCAGGGATAAGTTCTGCAGGTATTGTAAGAAAGACACTCATGTCATTGAGGAATGTTGGAAGCTGCAGAATAAGGAGAAAAGAAATGATACGTATAAACCGAAAATAAATCTGATGGTGATGGTAAGGCCTCTGTTGTCTCCGCTGTTGATAATTCTGATTCAGGAGATGTTCTAGTTATTTTTGCTGGTTGTGTTGCTGGTCGTGATGAATGGATACTTGATTCTGCATGCTCGTTTCATATATACTCTAACAGAGATTGGTTCAGTTCTTACAAGCCTATGCAGAGTGGAGATGTGGTGCGTATGGGAGATAACAACCCACGTGAGATCGTGGGCATTGGCTCCGTTCAGATCAAGATGCATGATGGCATGATACGCACACTGAAAGATGTGAGACACATACCAGGGATGGCTAGAAATCTCATCTCCCTCAGCACACTTGATGCCGAGGGGTACAGACACTCTGGATCAGGTGGAGTATGTAAAGTATCAAAAGGCTTTCTCATTCATATGATAGGTGATATGAATTATGCAAAGTTATATGTTCTTAGAGGAAGTACTTTACATGGTTCCGTCACTGCTGCTACTGTTTCTAATGATGAACCAAGTAAAACTAATCTCTAGCATATGCGTCTTGAGCATATGAGTGAACTTGGTATGGCAGAATTGATCAAGAGAGACCTGCTGGATGGCTGCACTGGGGGTAAGATGAAGTTCTGTGAGCACTGTGTTTTTGGTAAGCACAAGAAGATAAAATTCAATACATCTGTTCATATCACAAAAGGTACACTTAATTATGTACATGCTGATTTGTGGGGGCCGTCTCGTAAGCCCTCTTATGGTGGTGCTCGTTACATGCTTACCATTATTGATGATTACTCTAGAAAAGTGTGGCCTTACTTTCGGAAAAATAAAGATGATACTTTTGCTTCTTTTAAAGAGTGGAAAGTTATGATAGAAAGACAAACTGAAAAGAAGGTAAAATTGCTTCGTACTGACAATGGCAGTGAATTCTGTTCGGATGCTTTTAATGATTACTGCAGGGAAGAAGGCATTGTCAGGCACCACACCATCCCGTACACTCCTCAGCAGAATGGTGTGGCTAAGCGCATGAACTGAACCATCATCTCGAGGGCTCGTTGCATGATGTCCAATGCTCGTATGAACAGGCGTTTTTGGGCTGAGGCTGCTAACACCGCCTGTTACTTGATCAACCGGTCACCTTCTATCCCACTTAATAAGAAAACTCCCATTGAGGTATGGTCTGGTATGCCTGCTGATTATTCACAGTTGAGAGTTTTCGGTTGCACTGCTTATGCTCATGTTGATAATGGAAAGCTAGAACCTAGAGCCATTAAGTGTCTGTTTCTTGGTTATGGTTCTAGAGTTAAAGGATATAAGTTATGAAATCCTGAAACTAAAAAGACTTTCATGAGCAGGAACGTTGTTTTCAATGAATCTGTTATGTTTAATGACAGCTTGTCCATAGATGTTTCACCAGTTGGTTCTGATGAGGAGCAGGAACATGTTAGCGTGCAAGTGAAGCACGTAGATGATCAGAAAACTGAAATTGTTGATAACAATGTTCATGATATTGTTCATCATTCACCTCCTGTTTTGCTGCCTCAAAATCAGTCTATTGCAGATCACAGAACAAAGAGGAGTTGTGGACCTCGTCCACGTTTAATTAAGGAATCTGATATTGTTCATTATGCCTTTAGTTATGCTGAACAGGTTGGGAACATTCATGAGCCGGCTACGTACACTGAAGCTATTGTTTTAGGTGACCGCAAGAAGTGGATTTCCGCTATGCAAGAAGAGATGCAGTCACTTGAGAAAAATGGCACATGGAATGTTGTGCGCTTGCCTAAACACAAGAAGGCCGTTCGTTGCAAATGGATCTTCAAAAGAAAGGAGGGTTTGTCTTCTAGTGAGCCTCCAAGATTTAAGGCAAGGTTAGTAGCAAAAGGTTTCAGTCAGATTCCTGACCTTGATTATAATGATGTGTTCTCTCCAGTTGTAAAGCATAGTTCAATTCGTACATTTTTCGGTATTGTTGCTATGCGAGATCTTAAGCTTGAGCAGTTATATGTAAAGACTGTGTTTCTACATGGAGAGCTCGAAGAGGAGATATACATGGACCAGCCAGAAGGGTTCATAGTATACCAGAAGGATCATGTTTACGAATTAAAGAGATCCTTATATGGTTTGAAATAGTCTCCTCATCAATGATATAAAAGGTTTGATTCTTTTACGATGTCACATGGTTTTAAGATGTGTGAATTTGATAGCTGTTTGAAACACTGCTCTAATATCTAACTCCCTAACCCAGTTCCAGAGAAGCTGCTCTGCGCTAATATCTAACTCCCTAACCCAATTCCAGAGAAGCTGCTCCGTGCATCGCGACTCGCAAGATATCGCTGCTCCCTGCATCGCCGCCTCGCCGTCTCCCTGCTCGCCGGCTCGCCGCCTGCCTCGCCGCCAATCGTGTCGTCGCTGCCCTCACCACCGCGTCTCCCTAGGGTCGCCGCCCGCCTCGCCCTAGGGTCTCCACCCGCCTCGCCCTAGGGTCGCGGCCGCCCTCACCACCACCACGCGCCTCCCTAGGCTCGCCAGCGCCCACCTGTGTGGATCACCGCCGGCTGCCTGCTGCAACAAACCGGCGGCTGCAGCAGAGAGGTTGGGACAGGATTGGTGGCAGGAGGCTTGCCCTTCTGCGCTTGGCCTTGTCGCGGAGGAGGGAGGGGTGCGCCTGCAGGTGCTCGTCGTCCTACAGGTATGATATCTCTGCCTTTGCCTGCTCCTCATCTTCATCAGTATCAATCATTATATTCATCTTCCATCATTTTGGCAATAGGTAGAAGCCTGAAAATTATCAATTCCATCCATGGTTCTTAAATCCCTTGATTGATTAAATTATCTGTTTAGTGTGTAAGTGAAGCGTTACTAGATGTAGTGAGTTGATGAAAATTCAATAGAAGAGGGCTTTGGCAGAGATATGAGTGCTCCCAGATGCAGAATGATTAAGTTATCTGTGAATTTACTAAAGTAGCACAGGAATTAGAAAGATACAGTCTGAAGTGAATTTAGCAGCTAACCCCCCTTGCTTGTTGGCTATGTAAATGTACAGAGACATACATGCATATACGATTGTTCACTAAGAAAAAAGGGTTAAGGTACAGATCTTTATGAGAGCATCAGCATTAGTGTTGAGGTGCAATTTTGTTGTTTTCAGTTGTCGCATGGATGAGTTAGTGGTTCTGCGTGTTAGTTATTAAATGGCAGATTCAGCTACTCAAACCTTAGCCTTGCACATTGATGTAATGCTCATGGTTTTCTTGTAAGAAGAGATTAATGGTACCAAAGTGATCTAGATATATAATGCTCCTCCACTCCAGTGGCTTCTGTAATTTAGCCTGGCAACTTTAGCTGGTCTGTTAGCCTTCCAAGTTTTATGCACAAACCATATTGAGGTATTGAGGATTATACTAATTGGTCTTTCGAGCTGTGGTACCCTGACTACCTGTAAGCATGTTAGATTGGGACTGTTGTCGAATCCATGTTGTCAAGGAGCATGTGCCATCATCTTGTACTTAGTGGTGGAGGTTCTTAACATGTAGCATTGAGCTGGTATCTGCATATCTGCAGCTGTTGGGAATCATATTCCTGTACCAAACTTCACAGCCAGTTTCGTCCTAGTCATCAAGATCTGTCAAGGGGATCATCTTTTGTATTGTTCTTCACACAGATGCAGGGCTCACTGATTGCAGTGAATATTTGCTTTGTCTCTGTTGGTGTCCCTGCCCTCTTTATTTACAATATATTGCAATATTTTTCACTGTTCCTTCCTTGAAAGGAAATAATCCTCTTGCTGCTGCCAGTTCATTTGAATTTGACAAAAGCGCATATCCAAGTCAGTTTATAACAACATATAGAATAGACATGTAACCTGCTGTTGACTTGTGACCATGAATAATATTTTTATTGAAGTGAATGCCCTGGCCCTGGCTCATGGTACCTGCCTCAGATTCTTGTATCATTGAGATCTCTCTTGAGCTGAAGCTATATGGTTTTTGCCACAATATAATTTAATTGCCCATTAGGATCTGTCATCTATTCACAGTCATGTTGATTTGCTCCAACTGTGCATCGTGAAAGTCGCAGAGTTTGCCTTCCCAGCCAGTTTTACATGAGCCCATATACGCAGCCGTAATGGTCAAAGGGTATGTTTAATTTTATCTAAAATTTTTCTTAGTCAGATTTGTTTGCTTCAAAGCTACTCTTAATTAGGAAGTTCAGCTGCAATGTGTATTCACAAAAGTAGTTGCAGGACTTGTGTGCTAGGTAATAGGCTTTGTTAATCGGAGTTTGCACAATTCAACAGTCAAGATTAGAATTCCTTTCTGCCATGAAATATATCCTAATGCTAGTTGTATATTGTGACTACTTCCATGTTTTGTGATCCTCAATTTTTAAACTGAGCAGTTAACTTATGTTTCTGCTAAGTCAATGTTGGATCTGTTAATTAACTCTGTTTCTTTTTTCTTCCAAGCTGGTAGTACAAAATATGTAACTGCATAATTTTCTGGCTTATGACTGTACTCACTGATCAGTTAGTTCCATGATGTTTGCAATTAGCTAGCAGGTGCAGTAGGAGCATATATCATCTACAATTTTTTCTGAAATGTTGCTTTCATGCGCTGCATCGACAAATAGTATGTCTCCATGACTTGGATGTCTCAGTGTTAGTTAACCTTCTTTTACGTTTTCTTTTCAGTTGTACCAGCCCTTCTTCCTTTGGAGTCCAGGCTATGTGATTCCTGGAGCTATGGAGGGCCTGGAGCCCACTGAAGATTGCTACCTTCCTCTATTTGCAAGCCGTGTAAAAAACAAAATCTAGCGATCCTATTGTGTAGATTTATTTTCTGTGATTCCTCACAATTTAGTGGACAATTCAATCCTTGATGTAAGACATGCACATGTCAATTTCAGTGTGATTCACCTGGCAGCTAAACTATTTTGGATGATTCCTGTTTGCCCACCAAGATAATATTTGTTGATTTGTCAAACATGTCAGCACTTCCTTTTCATTTTTCTGTTTCTTATTCCCTTATCAACAATCTCGTATTTTTATTTTTCAAACCATGGGGAGCATTTCAAGTCAACATCTCAGTTAAAAAGAGGACATTACAGTGGAGCATTTCAAGTACCTCCAGGCAAAGCACTAAGACAAAAATACAAGGAAAAAGTACTAAAATAGTTTCTCTGGCTCCGTACAAGTATTAATCCTCTAAAATAAAAAATTAACATATCACACTCTACCACCCTTCTGTTTACGTCAAACACTAAATTCAAATGGATCTGCAGATCTCCATCCCAGTAGTATGCTGCAACCCTGTCCTCTACTCAGCTACCGTTTTCATGCCAGTTAGCCAGTGTACCAAATCATGAACAAGCTTTGAACATGTCTAAATTGCTTAACCCAGCCCACCTAAATGAAAAATGCAGAATGAACACTGTGTCAAGGCTGGCAATTTTTTTCCAGTAAAGTACTGTAGACGAAGTGTCATGTGTCATGGGCTTTTTTTTCATTTCCAGAAATATTATTTTGACCTGTTTTCTTGTCCCAAACTGAATGCGGGGATTACTGTGTCCTAGTCAATCTGGGGATGCTCAAATTCTATGCGGAAACACAACTTAGTTGCTGTGGATCCCAATCTAGCTCTAGCTAATGCAGCAGCGCATAGACCAAATCGGCCGACCACACTGACTCAGAAAATTGACGGCACACTGAATAGAACCCAACTACGGGAGTGCTCCTCACCTGGTTCAGTGAAGCCAGGAAGGTGATCTTCAAGGACCCGGGCACCAGCCGCACGCCCGTGTCGGCGGCGTCCACACCACGCTCTGTGAGCAAGCACCCGAGCCAGAGCCCGCCCAATCCGAGTGCAAGGGGCCGCTGTCTCCGCCGTACCCTGCTCTCCTTCGCAAGCCGTGGAACCCGCTGCCAGTAAGCCCCAAGCCGCCGCCGTCTCCCTGTTCGTCGCCGACTGCCGAGCAGAGGCACGCGTCAAGCTCCCTCCTTCATTCCTTCTCTGCCCGAGACGAGTAGCCCATCGCCTCCCCATCACCCTGTCACCACGGAGCGCCGTCTCTCCGGTCGACCCCGTCGCCGGAGCTCCTCCGCCGCACGGCGCCACCGAGCAGCCGCCGCCGGCCTGCATACGACCGGATCGCGTGTGCGCACGGCCAGGGGACCTCGGACCACCTCCGACAGATCCGAGATGACCCACGAGTCCGCCTCCACCCCTGGGTGCTTCCGCTGCCGGCGCGTCGAGAGGAAGGGCCCGCGCCGTCGCGGCTTCCATGGCCATGGCCATGGCCTCGCCGAAGTCGAGGAAGGAGGCCGGCAGGCTGCGTCCGCAGCGCTCCAACGGTGGTGGAGGGGGGAAGAAGGTGAGGGGCGGCGGCGACGAAGCCGGCGAAGGGGAAGCAGCGTGGGAGGCGCGCGTCGGGGACGAGCAGGAGGTGTGGCGGCGGCGTCCGCGGAACTCACGCGAAGAAAAAGGAGGGGCGCGACCGCCTGAGAAGAGATGGCGGCGGCGTCCGCGAGCCTCGCGGTGAGAAAGGGCGCGGCTGCCCGGGGAGAAGAAGGGAGCTGCTGGAGCCTTTTCCCTGTTTACCATTAAAAAAAATGGCATTTTTATTTACAGAGCACTAAAAAGTTCGGATTTACTTAGGTGCTATTACACTTTATTTCTTTGCCCTCTAAGCCATTATGTTCATTTTCACTTGTAACCGTGTGTAACGGCGAGAAGAAAAGACCGAAATGCCCTCAGTCTAGGGAGGATGAATAAAATTGTCGTTTGGCCTATGTGCCACTCCCTGGTCAAGCCGTTTGAGCGCCAGGAAAAACGGAAGGCGAAGCAGTTCCTTAGCCCGCTGCAGCAGCCACAGCTGAAGTTGCAGCTGGGGCAGGTCGTACTCCTGAATCGGATGCGGCAGCAGCAGTTAGCGGTGAAGGTGGTTGTCGTCGCGGTGTTCGCCCGGTGGTGGGCCTTCTTTCTGGGCTGCAGGGACGGCCTGATCTTCTTGAGCTGGATCTTTGTTGTGATGTTCTCCATCTCACGGACGAACCTGGATAGGTGGCGGATGAAGTCTGGGTACAACTCCAGGTTGCAGTGACCTCCCCCTTTGATCCAGAGTGGGTCATAAGGATCCCTTGCTAGTTTCCACAGCTTCTTTCCATGTGACCAATTCACAACATCATCATCCGTCCCCTGCAACAATCAATGGGTGTAACTTAGACAAATATCTTCTAATATTTTTTTGAGGAAAAATATCTTCTAATATAATTGGAATACAAGCAAACCTATGACAAAACATACAGCAATGAAACATATAGATGAATTCGGATGTATGTTCACCAATTTTTCATGATTGTTCATTTGTTCTAACAGGGTCTAGCAATGCTAAATAATACAAATCAGCACCCAAAATATATATCCATTGCATGAACAAGCGATCTAGGTAAAACTGAAAATGCCTATGATCTGTGTAACAAATTAATGCTGACAGCCTGATAGCAACCAACAACATAAAAACTGTAAATAGGTAAGAGCAAATCAAATGAAATATGTCAGACAAGCTGGGAAATAGTTTTACTGTAAAAAGCTGGGTAACAGGACTGTTTCCTGTAAACTGGTGGCTTTCAGGCCCTACGATTTGGCCTTTCATGTTTTGAGATCATTGGCTAAGAATATGCACAAGCAGGGCAGCAACAAACAAATAGACTCAGATGTAGCCTGTAGATTTAGTTAGGCCTGTGCAAAAATTTGGGCCAGAACAATCCTGATCTTTTGGGCCTACTAGCTTGACATGGCTATAAATTTGGTTGGGCTCAGCCAAGACAATATAAGTTGTTCACTATGACAGGATGAACAGTGAAAGGCCAACAACCACCCACGCCAGGACAAGCCAATGCCCAATTATTCTTTGGGGTTACAGGCTGAATCAAGTCAGTGAGGTCCCATATGGGCATATAGTGAGGCTACCACATGTGTACAACTTGCACACTAGAGAACTACAGCTGCTAGTGACATCCCAGCCCATAAAAGGGCATGAATTCAGTTGACGTAATCTGCTGGCTAGTTGAGGCTTTGGGCCTGTTCGAACAGTCGGTTGCGGCCATTGCAACAATGACTGAGGAACAACAAGGCAGCAGACAAGGAAAGTAGTAGTAAGCGAACAGGAATATGAAGACTTTGTTTCTAGCCTTTGTAGTTCTGTTTTTCCCCCTCCACCTATGTATTTTCCATCTACCTATGGTTGTATACATCCTCAGGTTAGTGTAGAGAGGCTGGAGGTTACCCCATTATCTAAACCTATGTGTTTGGGCCACACATTGCCGCCACGTCCATAAGAAGTATTTACCCTGCCTACCGCAACTTCAGCCGTGTGGCTGCTGAAGGGTCGAGGAACTGCTTCGCCTTCCGTTTTTCCTGGCGCTCAAACGCTTGGTCAGGGAGTGGCACACATGACAAACGGCAATTTCACTCCTCCCTAGACTGAGGGCACTTCAGTTTTTTCTCCTCGCCGTTACACACCGTTACCAGCGAAAATGTACGGAATGGCTTGTGGGGCAAATAAATAAAGTGTCATGGCACCTAGGTAAGTCCGAACTTTTTAGTGGCCCATAGGAAAATGCCATCTTTTTTAATGGTACACAGGAAAAAGGCTCGAGCTGCTGGGAGAACATTCCGATAAGATAGAAACAACTCTTTTTTTTTTAATTCAGAGACTCTTTTTTTTATATAATACGTATCTGTATTTCTAAGTAAGGAAAGCGTACACCCAGACGTACAAATACATACCCGTACTTAAAGGATACAGAGATAACTATCCTAACCTAACTTCGCGAAGGACCCTAAAAAAGAAAAAAATTACATCGAGACCCCTGGATCCTTGGCGAACCACCGATGCTCGACCTCGTCGGCGGCGGCCGCCACCGCCGAAGAAGAAGACGAACATCACCGTCCCATCACGCACTAGCTTTGAGCCAAGTCGAAATTGACACCCGTCATGGAAAACGGGATGAAGCGGTCACCCATCGACTGGGGCCGCGCCCCAAGTCCTCCAGCTCCCAGATCTGGACTCGCCACCGACGACCACCGCCGCCGAGAGGGGATTGAGCCAGATCCAGTCATCCACCAACCACAAAACCAACGGACAGCACTGCATCCTTGAGAAAGAAGGCCAGTAGCAACATCACCCGGAAGACGATGAAGCACCGGCCCTGGACTCCTAAGTAGATCTCGCCGACCTTGCCGAAGGCGCTGGAGAAGTCGCCGCCAGGACGAAGGAGAGGTCGAGAGAAATTATTCCCCAGCGTCGTCGACACCTCCGCCTCGCCGACATCACCTGGAAAAAAGCCACAGAGGAACGCCCCCGGCCTGTTGGATATAATATGGGCTTGGCCCATATAATATTTAATAAATCAAATAAAATTCTATGGTGCGTAACATTAAGTGTTGTATGGTTTAATACCATACGGGATTTTGACTGAACGCCGACTCAGCTTATATGGTTGGAAATTATTTATCTAAATTGAGAAGCTGAGAAAAGGATAAAGGCGTGCCACACGCGCGCGAGCGCCGCCGCCACCTCCACCTCGCCGACATCACCTAGAAAAGGATAACTTGTGCTTGAGTCTAATAAATGTGTTGTATCGAGACATGGAACATTTGTTGGAAAAGGTTATGATTGCGGATGCTTGTTCCGCTTATCTTTGCTTGATGATGTGTGTAATGAAGCAGTGAACAATGTTATTGTTTCAGATGAGTCGAATATATGTCATTCACGACTTTGTCACATTAATTTTGGCTGTCTCACGTGGCTTGCAAATCTGAATTTAATCCTGAAATTTAACTTAGTTAAAGATTCTAAGTGCCAGGTGTGTGTGCAATCGAAGCAACCGTGCAAGCCTCACAAGGCTGCTGAGGCGAGGAACTTGGCACCGTTAGAACTCGTTCATTCTGATTTATGTGAAATGAATGGCGAATTGACTAAAGGCGGTAGACGATACTTCATGACATTTATTAAAAACTAAAGATGAAGCGTTGCATTATTTTAAAGTCTATAAAACTGAGGTAGAAAATCAACTTGACAAGAAAATCAAGCGTTTGCGGTCCGGTCGTGGGGGAGAATATTTCTCAAATGAATTTTCTGAGTTTTACGCGGTGCATGAAATTATTCATGAGAGTACGCCACCATACTCACCACAGTCCAATGGGATTGCAGAAAGAAAGAACCATACTCTAACTAATTTGGTAAATGCCAAGTTAGAGACTGCGGGACTATCTAAGGAATGGTGGGGTGAGACTATATTGATAGCATGTCACGTCCTGAATAGAGTGCCCACAAAGAACAAAGAAATTACACCATTTGAGTAATGGGAGAAGAAGAGATTAAATTTCTCTTACCTGTGAACTTGGGGTTGTTTGGCAAAGATGAATGTGCCAATAAATAAAAAATGAAAGCTTGGACCAAAGACTGTTGATGGTGTCTTTCTTGGTTATGCTATTCACAGTGTGGGTTATAGATTTTTAATTATAAACTCTAGTGTTCCTGAGATGGCTGTTGATACAATCATGGAATCTAGAGACGCTACATTTTTTGAGGATGAGTTTCCCATAAAAAATGCACCTAGCACAACTGGTCATAAATTTATAATTCTCCATGAGCATGAAAACTTTATTCCGATAGAACAAATTGAGGAACCCTATGTGTAAAATCCTGAGGAGAATGACACTATAGTCACCAGGAAAAGTAAGAGACAGAGGACTGCAAAGTCTTTTGGTGATGACTATATTGTGTATCTTGTGGATGACACACCAACGACCATTGAAGATGCATATTCCTCTCCTGATACCGACTTATGGAAGGAAGCAGTACGAAGTGAGATGGATTCTGTTATGTCTAATGGAACTTGGAAAATTGTTGATCGTCCCTATGGGTGCAAGCCTATAGGGTGCAAATGGGTGTTCAAGAAAAAGCTTAGGCCTGATGGTACTATCGAGAGGTACAAGGCAAGGCTTGTGGCCAAGGGCTATACTCAAAAGGAAGGTGAGGATTTCTTTGATACTTATTCACCGGTTGCCCGATTGACCACAATTCGAGTTTTGCTTTCCTTGGCAACCTCTTATGTTCTTATCGTTCATCAAATTGATGTTAAGACAACTTTCCTAAATGAAGAGTTGGAGGAGGAGATCTATATGGATCAGCCTGATGGGTTTGTAGCAATTGGTCAAGAAGGAAAGGTGTGTAAATTATTAAATTCATTATATGGTCTAAAACAAGCTCCTAAGCAATGGCATGAGAA